GTAGAGATGTGTGAAAAGATCAAATAGTTTGAGGTGGGGAATCCTAGAAATATGTACATACAGCCCTTGGTTCTGAAATAAATACAACTAAAAACTATTACTAAATAATAATAATGCAAAGTGTTCAAATGTTTTTTATTAACTCCATAATTAACACTGGTTATGTTTGGGCTTCCAGGCATGGAACCTCTAATATCTAGAAGTCCAGTGGTTTGCTTAGTATAAATCTCACGGGAAGAAATCTCCCCAAATCTTTGTTGAGATGACCTGGCAAGAATTTGTTTCACCTATGAGATTTCTCCCATTATGTGAACAAGCTTTGTATGTCAGGAGTTTTGCAGTTTTAACACAACAGTTGTAAAACTCCTTTTCTGAAGCATACACTGAAGAACATGCAGATTGATCACTCAGCTGTAGCTAACCCATTCTGCTTTTATGTTTAAAAAATAATGAAACAAAGCAGCAACTATTGTAGTCCTGTAATGTGAAAAAAATGGTCTCACAAATACAAAAATCGACCCAGAGAAAAGTGTGATTGTTGCATATAAATAAGCATGAAATAAACAAGGATTAACATTGCTGATCAAAGGTGAATGATGGATAGCAATGCCATATTAATGGTTACTTGGTACAAAAACAAGTTCATAGGTTTGACTGTTCAGCAAATCGTTGGGCCTTTTTATGTTCCAGTTCCGGCTAGAAATTTCAATAAGTGGTTTAAACAGTGCATTCATGCATTTGTCTATTTGGAAGTTGATCCCCTTGAGTCTGATAGGATTTAATCTCAAGTAAAAGTGTTGTGGCATAGTGGTAACATCTGTAGGGCTTCTGTCTTCTCCAGCTATAGTTATCACATTCTGAGGTTGCTGTAAATTGATGCGTTTTTTAACATGTAGTAATCTGTTGCCAGGAGTTTCTATAATAGTTTTTCTACTTGTATTCATACTCATTTCTGTTTCTAGCAGTACCTTTATATTGGGTAATGCTAGTTGTACATTCTGTCAACATAGAATGTGGGAAATCTCAAAGGACTTGTTGAGCTGATAGATCAGCACTGTAGTTGGTAAGGAATGTACTTATATGCAGGAGAAAGTGGGCACACTGAATTTATGAAACAAGGTGAATATTAAATACAATTTTCTACTCTTGAATGTTGTTTATGGTTGCACTAAGACTTGAAAAGACTGGTTTCATGTTTCCCCTTGGTCATGAAAGTGTATTGGGTGATCTTGGGTTATAAAGAGGAAGAAAAGTGAGTACTTGCTGAGGGTATAAATGAAAGATAAAGGATGATTCAGTATTTCATAGAAATACAAGTTCTAATGACAGTCTCGATTAAACAGCTGTGCTATTGCTTCTGTCTTACTAACAGCATGTAGATCATCAGATCTTTCTAGATTGGGATCTCAGGCTAAGCAAGATCTTACATTTCATCCTTATTTCTATTCTACAGCTCAGAGTGACGCTTTGCTGGTTTTTACAGATGGAGTGGTAGCATCTATAGGGGTATTCTTCCAGATCATACTATTTATCCATTTAGCAGTGTAGAAAAGCTGTAGGTCAGATCTTTGGGATTGTTTTGTTACCAGATATTACACGTCATTGTGGCCCTACTAACTTTGGGTATGGGAACTCCAACCAATGATCTGTTGCATCCAAACAAGTCACCCAAGGTTGTTTCTTATTTTTAAAGCCAAGAACAATTCTTGTATATCTCTTTCCATGTATTCTTACTTTGAATAACCAGATGAGATAGTGAAAGTTTCTCTTTTGGCGAGCAAAGTAGTATTTTTCTGGATTTGGGGTTTCATTATTTTTTGGCTATTGACCTTACTGTGTTTCATTGTTCACCTCAATCCACAACATTCTGAGCATCCACCAATAAATCCCATGTTCCAGATGCTTCTGTCTTTTTATAGTGCTTGTAAAAATCCCTCATTCTCTTTCCATATAGTAGAACAGAAACTATGTAGCACATCATGCCCATCTCTATTCTGACATAGTTGTGATCCCATTATTCTCTCTCCGTATCTTTTCAGTTTATCTGTGGAACATAAATGAAAAACTAGATTTAAATAAAGGAGTAAAAATTGATGGAAAAATAATTTTAAAATAAGCAGATGACACCACACTATTGGCAGAAAACTGCAATGAGTTGAAATGACTCCTAAGCAAGTAGAAAAACAAGATTATAGTTAAACAAGTAAAAAAATCATGACTACAATGAAAAAAATGAAATTATTTTGTATATTTCGGCTATTGTCAATACAAACAGACTGAAGAAACAAAGACAGACTTGAAAGGGCAGCTATGAGGATCTAAGATCCTGAAGAGTAAGAATGTGTCACTGGAAATCAAGGCCAACATTATCCATACTACTACTGTACATTCTTGATTACTACTGTATGTATGGCTGTGAAAGTTGGACTGAAAAAAAATGAAAAAAACATAACTGAAGGATAATTTTTGGCGAGTGGGGGAGATATAATTATAAATATGGTGGGCCAAGAGAAAGATACACAGGTGGGTGCTAGATCAAGTCTTAACTCTAGAGACAAAACCAACAAAATTTCAGATTATTGGGCTTTGTGCATGTCACATGAAGTCTCACTGAAAAAGAACAATGCTAGGCAAAGGCAGCAGGAAAACAGGAAGATCAAACAAGCTCGGTTGACTCAAAAGGAAGCCATCACCTTCAGTTTGGAAGATGCAAGCAGGCCTGGTAGTAAGACCTTTCAAAGGTCACTAATCCATGGAGTTGCCATAAATTGTTTAGGTCCTTTTTTAGAAGAAATGCAGGGTAGAAATATTTTAAATAAATGTTAGCAAGAAACTATTTCCAACTATTCAGGCAGTTGCATAGTTATTCTAACAAACTGAGCAAACTTCCACGTAGGGTAAAGGATGAGTTCTACAGTCATGGCTTTCTTCCAGATGGGATTACACAGCCCCAAACCATGATGGGGATGTATAATCTCCAACCTTAAAAGGAAGGTACCTCAAAATGCCAGATGCACGGTATGGGTATCGTACCCTGTTGTCTTGTGTGCTCCCAGAGGCATCTGGTGGGGCCACAGATACAGGAAGCTGGACTAGATGGGCCCTTGGCTTGATCCAGCAGTACTCTTCTTATGCTCTTAACCTCACTGGAAAACTCAAATCTTTATTTGTGCTTGGAAAAATAATTGGAAGAAACCATGATCCAAATTTAGTGAGAGTTAATACTGCTGAAAATGTACCAGATTATCATGTGATTTCTCCTAAATGCTCTGGTGTAGATTTTGTATAAAATTTCAGAGAAGAGCCAAGCAGTTAAAGAATAAACAAAGCCCTAGTAAGATGTCATAACCATGGCTCTTGATGAGGAACTGTTTGCCAAATAGCTTGCAGGTTTAGTGGAAAAACACATTAAGGTATCATCAGATTGTGGCTCTAGTCAGACAAAACTGGCTAGGAACTCAGCAGGTGTTGTTATTGACTTGGAGACACGAGTAGACTCGAGCACAAAAACCAAGAGTAATGAGTAGCCTGTGTATTAGTACATTAATAACAAGGAGGCGGCACACAGAGTTAAAAAATCATTGGAATTTGCACTTCTCTATTTGTCTTTGTATTCAATGTATTCACAAAGGCTTTCACGGCCGGGATCTAATGGTTGTTGTGGGTTTTTCGGGCTGTTTGGCCGGGTTCTGAAGGTTTTTCTTCGTTAGGAAGAACAACCTTCAGAACCCGGCCAAACAGCCCGAAAAACCCACAACAACCATCTTTGTATTCAAATAAGTTGTCTAGTTTCTCCTGTTCTCCACCATCACAGAATCTGGAGAGTGTTCTGAATTATAGTTGGAGTTTAGATTTTTGATACACAAGTTCTGAATAATTTGAATTGTTTCACATACTTTGCAATCTGACTTTATTTCATATATACTGTCTTTGAAATAGATTTAATTAAAATGTCTTTTAAAATGCATTATTCTTTTGTGCATATGCCCTTAGCCTCAAAGTTAACAAAATAGTTAAAACCTACTGTCTTGGGTAGTGCTTATTTTATGAGAAAAAGGAAGATTAATACAAAAAGGCAGTTTTCTGAGCTTTTCACTTTCATAATACAGTCTCCTGCAATAGAGATTCTTGGCTTCAGGTCCATTGTGAAGGTAACCTTTTAGGCACAGTAGCTCTGTGAGTTAGGTAACTGGTTTGCAGAGCCAAAAGTTGGAGTTCAATTTTCCTGGCCTCCTGCCAGAAAAGCCAGTCTGTGAGGCTTTGGGCAAGCTGCATAGCCCCATGATGCCTTCAGAAGAAAGGAATGGTAAACCACTTCTGAGTAGCGTCTACCCAGACAACCCTGAAAAGGATTGCATAAGTCAGAACTGACTTGACAGTACACAATTCTCATTAGTCCATTACAGCCCACAACAAAAGAGCAATGAAAATGTAACAGAGACTCAGTCCATTTCATCGGAACTACCGGTATCAGAAAGGGTTTATGTCTGTGAAAGCTTAGTATGTTAATCTAGAGCCTTTTTAGGTAGAATTTCCTTCCCTTCTCGTTACTATTGCAGTTATCCAAAACATGTATTTGATTTTTCCATTCTGTGCACAGCTGTGCTGTATCTGTAGTAGTATCTAAACAAAAATGCACAGTGAACACTATCTTCCAGCAACTCCTGCCTCCCAACCATGACATGCAAAATTAGTTCTGCAAGAATACTCCATAACTATTTGATCCAAGGCTCGACTGCTAGAATGAAATTTACCTGCTTGCATCAGAATATTGATAGCCTTTCACCAAATCACATTTAAGTAGGCCTGTCACACAATGTTTTAAGTCTCAAAATATTGTGAAGGCTAATTAAGAGGACCTGGACAAAAGGTTATTGAACTGGGCTGTGAATTCGAGCCAGGAGAAGGAATGGTGGGCTAATAGACCCACTTGACTCGCTTTCCTTACACAAAGTGGCACTTTCAGTTTCTAAGCATAAATCATCATACAATCTTTCAACTGTTGCATAATGAAGGACTTCCAAGATGGATTTTATTCACAAGTATACACTGTATTTAAATTATTTTGGAAACATGGAAGCATGTATAGTGTTCTCATCAGCTTAGCTCATGTTTTGGAGAAACTACAGAAAACGAGGCCAAAAGAGAATATAACAAATTTCTCACACCCAAAGGCTAGTTGGGTAAAGAAATTCTGTTTTCAGAAATACATTTGCTGCAGCAATTCTCACAGGATGCTTAAAATGCCCTACTTGTTTAGCTCACTTTTGTACTACTGAGCACTATGACAGCAAGACTGGAGAATTGTGTCCCTCTTGCATAGGTTCCTTAAGCTGCCGTGACAGCAGTGTGAGTCTTAATTCATCCTGCTTCATACTTCTTGTTCTATATAGTAGTATGAACAGCACTTTGCCATAATAATCCCTACTGATAGTGAAAATACCACTTTAAATATGCTTAGGTACAAATATCACAGTTTTTATGCAAATCCTTAACTGTTCACTGAGGCAGAATCGTGAAACAATATAAGAGCCTATGGTGCAAGGCAGAAGTCAACGTTTATACATTGTCACATGGGTATTATAACCAAGTACATTCCCTTGCAAATATTTTGCATTGTGATAGTCAAGCATTTACATTACTGCAAAAAGATTGTATTCCTATTACCTGTACTCTAGTGGAGAATGATAACAGTATAAGCAAAATTACTTTCCATAGCACTATCATATTTCATAGCCCCATTAAAAATAACAAGAGGGATTACAGGAGTATCTGGCAAACTCCAGTGAAAACAAGCACACAGGACATGATGCAGTTCTATTTAATTGAAGAAACAATGAATTAAATACAGGGCTAGTATCCTATTGCAAGTCTCAACAAGAGTAGACCCACTGACAGTGGAGTTCACATATGTGTTGATTTACCCGTCAGCAATGGACTATTATCCGGTTGGACCCATTGTGTCAGTGGTCGAATGGTTACCCCATGTTATCCCGTTACTAGTAATGATCTCCTTGCAATCCTGCACATGTCTGTGTAGTAAGAAGCCATTCTCTTATTTTTTTTTTCGTTGTACAGTAGGGAGCTGTTACCATTTAGCTTTGGTTAGGTTTTGCCCTTATACAAGCTGTGTCTTTTAAAAGACTCACCAAAGTCTTTTCATGTATGTAAACTGCTACTTGTTTTACAGAGTAACTCCAAACCCAAAGAACATATAGCTAACATAGACATTCATTCTGCAAAAGTCTTTAAGCATCACTGTTAACTTTTGCCAATCTGTTGTAGATTTATCTCCTGAAAGTGAGCTAAAATGTGCACTAAAATGTGCATGTGCACTAAAAAGAAAAATGTGAAATATCAGGAAAAGTAAGATATAAATGAGAACTTGAAGAGGACCAGTTTGCCTTATTTTTCATCAAGCAAATTCTGTTTTTTTAATTACAGAGAATCCTTAGAAATAGTATAAGAAGAGATACTCCTTATTTAGGAACTTTTGTAAAAACTATAGACGTCTTTCCTCAGTGGTTGTTGCTTCCTTTGTTCTATCATACTGAGTACCTTCATACAAAATCATATTTTTTATGCCTTCTTGAATCATGCGTTGCTCGAATCTTTTTTTTGCACGATCGTATCTACAGCAGAACCTGAAGAGAAAAAAAAAGCATGACAGCTTTACACAATGAAATTATGTGTTCAGATTTTATTACACTGAACCAGCTATTACTGTAAAAAGGATGCAGATGTTTTACAAAATCTTTGCTCTGGTAACATGCCTATTCCTGAGACCAAAGGATGGAAATTGTGTGGGTAAGAGTGTATCTGCATGTACACTGCATGTTTTTGATTTCAGTTTGGGCTAAGGACCCCAAAGAGCCACCCTTCCTTCCCGTCCCTTCTGGTTGAACATATCGCACAAGATGGTTCTCAAATCTGCCCAGCAATTATATGAAGGGCACAAGCATGCTGTACCTGTACCTCCCTATATGTAGAAAACCCTGGAAAGCCATAAATCAGAACTGACTTGACAGAATGCTAAAAAAAAGTGTGATGATGTTACTGGCAAGCAGATATTTTCAGTAATTAAAGAGTTCTTGATTTTGTCCCATAGCAAAATTAGCCTTTAATTACAGCAAATCTCTCCCTGCCAATACTGTAAAACTCTGGGCAGAGTACTTAAATCAATCTCTCCTCCAGGATTCAGTCTCGTATAGGCCACTGGAAAAACCTGCAGTTCTTAAACTGGATTTGTGTCTCCTAAGATTAATAGCAATGTATGGAGTTGAGAAATAACAAACCCAGTCAGCCCTGCTTTTCAACTCTAACTGAAGTTACTCCTGAAGATATTTTTCACTTTGTGTGAACCCTATCAGAATCTCTGGAATTGCTTTCCATTCTTATTCTGATGCTTTTTCCTTTAGGGTCACAACCTTAGTTTTTATCCCCTGGAACTTTATACAGAAAATAGTAAGCCCATATTTTTCTTTCTAAAGTGCACGCTTTCAGACACTGGAAATGTCAATAAACAGACATTGGAAGTGGAGACAATCTGGCCAAGGACTGTGTGAAAAATACAGACTGTTAAAATGTATTAAGGTTATAGCAAGCAAGAGTGCACTTTTTCATGTGAAAAAAAAAAAACCACAATTAATTTGTGTATTTCTGAGAAGTGATTTAAATCAATCAAGCCGACCCTGAAAAGCTTGTGGGGCGGGGAACACTTCAGCATATCAGTGAATGGTATAGCATGCTGTAGGGTTAAAATGTAATTTTAAAACTATTCTTCCAGATGGGAATGAATGTGAGACTGTGGTATTACCCACATTTGTGGATTATAATTCTGGGAACAGAATACACACCAAAATACTGTTGTGCTCAGGGCATAACCTCCAACTGCAACGTAATAAGATCGAAGCACTCTACCTAAAGAGAGGTGAAAGAAATCTATTCATATCAAGAATATATAGACAGCTACAGTGGTTAAAAAGTAAAATGCAGAAGAACACACTTCAGAAATGTATACAGCTACATATGACATTAAACCTAGCATTGCACACTCTTTAGGACATGTTTGGCTTTACAGAGATTAATAAAAATATGGTAAACCAAATTATTACATTGCAGAAGATTTGATGTAACTGAGGAAGTATACTAGTATCAGATGAAGTTGATGAAGGGAGAATTAAGGAGGCAACTACAGCTTGGGCTAAGCACAACACGCAAAGAAGGCAGGATCTGCTGCAAAAGCTGTGGATGCAACTAACTCAAATGAACCCTGTTCAGTTATTTGATCCATCTATAATAATATGATTTAAAAAATATTCCAATTACACAGAATGTTAAAGAACTGTCATTTCACAAGATTTAGTGACAAATGGGCATGCACGTCTCTACCGGGAAGCACAAGGGAAGCCAGCATCCTTTGGTATGTTGGCCAATGGTTATAATGTGGTATATAGATAGTAAGGAAGAATAAGAACATGAGAACATCAGAAAGACACACCAGCAATGGTCGTTTTGACCAGATAGGTGGGGTACAAATAGAATGAATGAATGAATGAATAAATAAAATAAAATAAAAGACTGCATAGGTACGTTTACTTACTTGTTGCCAAAAAATGTACAAGCCCCACAGCTACACCGCCCAGCGATCCATAAAGGAATGATTCTCGAGCACAAGGGATCTTAAAGACGTCAGCTATACCCAGGATTTTGAAAGACTTGAAGAAATTAAATATATCATATCAAAACATTCTGACAGAACAATACCCTTTCATTAGCTAGCTTTCTAACTAATAGGTAAACGTAAAGGTTCCCCTTGACAATTTTTGTCCAGTCGTGTTCGACTCTAGGGGGTGGTGCTCATCCCCGTTTCCAAGCTACAGAGCCAGCGTTTTGTCCGAAGACAATCTTCCATGGTCACATGGCCAGTGCGACTTAGACACGGAACGCTGTTACCTTCCCACCGAAGTGGTCCCTATTGATCTACAGTACTTGCATTTGCATGCTTTTGAACCGCGAGGTTGGCGGGAGCTAGGACAAGCGACGGGCGCTCCCTCCGTCACGTGGATTCGATCTTACGACTGCTTGGTCTTCTGAGCCTGCAGCACAAGCTTCTGCGGTTTAGCCCACAGCGCCACCACGTCCCTCTTCTAACTAATAGGGAACCGACAAACCATTCAACAGAATTGCCAGATTTGCCCCAGCAAAGGATTCCTGTCCCTTTCGTTGTAGTGCAGTGTGAAAAGATAATTTTAGAAGGTGCAGTTTCTTCCACTGGACCAAAAGCACAAGAAAAGATGCACCTGGAAAAGTGTCTGCCATAACTATTAGAGAGAAACTGGTTTATCTTATTAATCATTACTATAGCCCAATAAAATTTGAAGAGAGAAAGCTGTTATATCACTGTACAGTATTTAGTTCTTCAATGTGTCCCTGAGCCCTGGTGGCAGTGCTTGGAAGCTAACAATGCAACACAATGTGTATCTGATAACTGGAATCCTTTGAACAGTAAAGTTCACACACCTACAAAGGAGCTGGAAAATCACTGTCACTGAAGACTGTGAAAACACAGAGCTGGAAGGAACAATGTGTATGTGTGTTTGAGTGCGAAAGCATGACTCTGCTGATTCAGCTGAATATCTCCGTGACACTTAATGGTGGTGCAAGTAGCAGCCACCTCATGCTTCTGAGGTGCTGGGGGACTATTTGTGGTGGCTTTCACCCTTCTTAGAGAAACTGGTGCTGGAAGACTGCTGCTCCACACTGTAATCACTGATGTACAGCAGAGACTGGCAAATGATAGACGTCCAGAAGCTGCCATTTTCAACTTGCCTCAGCCCTAGCTATGCTGGATGGGGTTGGTGGCAACTATCAATATCTGGAGAGCTCCACTTTCCCCACCTCTGTAAAAGGGGTGTCTCACTGTCCAATGGTCATCTCCTAAGCTATTCAACTGCCAAATATCAGCAGGCCTAGGGACCACACTCAGCCACAGTATCCACCATGGGCTGCTTTAGCTTGGAACTAGCCAAGAATGTCCTCCTGCCATTTACACCAGAAGTAACCGGGCACCCCTTCCTGTTTCGACTGGATACTTTCTGCACTCTCGGAAGTATTCAGCAATCCCAAAAATATTTGGCTTAGAGGGCTTAAAAATGGCTTTCAATACCCATATGTCGCTGGGGGCTGCTCCCTGCGCAGATAGTCTAAACAAAACTACTTGTTGGGAGTATGCAATGCAGACCATCCATTGCTAATGACATTCTTCTTTGCATTGTGTCCTGAAGTAAAACTCTGAGTTTGGTACCAGCACCTGCACTTAATAACATACCAAATGAGAGGAAATACACTGAAATGTATTCCACATATAACAATGTATTGATAGTTGAGAATTCTACAGATTAGTATACATTCTACAGTGTATACTGTATATTCTACAGAGGTTACAGAGTGAGCCCAACCAAACACAAGCTAGAGCTCATCTGAAAGCCTATGCCGTGGCATAGAAAGTTGTCCAGCAGAGTTGTTTCAATTGATCCAGAGCTTAATACAGTACATGTATTAAGAATAAGATACTGCCCATTCAGCAACCAGCTGTCAGGAATCTCCATAACACATTGCAGGCAAAGTTACTTCAATCTGCTCTGCCTTGGGATTCTGTAGTTGATACAAGTCCTTTGGGTGTAACTTTGGCCCCTCCTTGTCACATTATAACGGATACATTACAACTGGTGCAGCTCAAGGACATGGACCAGATTCTTGGAGAGGTGAATGCCCCCAAATGTATGCTAGAGCTTTGCTCTTCATGGCTTATAAAAGCAGTCTGATCAACTGAAAGGCAAATGAAGGCATGGGATGCAACCTGTGCTGGATGTGACTACACTCCTCCAGAAAAGCATGTGTGTACTTCTGAATTCATCCCTGAGCCTGGATGTCTCAGTTTCAGCAGTATCCATGAGTGCATTCGCACAGTTAAAAGTGATGCGTCCGCTGGGCCAATTCCTTGAGATACAGTACAGTATATGATTTGACACATGCCTTACTTACATCCCGCTTGGATAACTGTAATGTGCTCTGTGTGGGGCTGCTTTTGAGGACAGGTCAGAAGCTTCAGCAGCTGAAGATGAACCTGCCAGACTGCTCACTGAGGCCAGTCATAGGGAGCATATAACACTCCTGTTTCTGGGTCCAATTAAAAGGGCTGGTTCTGCTACAACAACTGCATTGGCTACCAGTCTGCTTCTGGGTCCAATTAAAAGGGCTGGTCCTTACCTATAAAGCTCTATATGAGTTTGATCCAGGCTATCTGAAGGATTGTACAGTATCTCCCCATATGGACCTTCCTGGTCCTTAAAGACTTCAGAGGAGGCACTTCTCTTGGTCCCCTTACCAGCCTGAGTGAGTTTGAGGGCCCCACAGGATATTGTTAAGAATTCCTCCTCCCACATAAAGAGTATTGGCATCCAGTTACGTTGCATTCACCTCAGTTTGTGAAATGCAATTGGTGGCTGTACAAAAGACAGCCTTTTAACTTGCTTCATTCATTTGTGACTGAATCATCCAATAACAGTTTAAAATATGGTTACTGCAAACAACATGTAGCCTATGACTTTCATTGACTTTCCTTTTATGCAGCACATCACATTTTGCTTTATTAGTTTCATTTTTGTAAACTCATATGCAAATATAAAAGACTAATATAAAATATGTTTTAAATATTTTTTATCATTGTAAATTGTCTTGGATGTAAAAGTTGAAAAAGCACATATCTCCAGAAATATCTTCTTGATTTAAGGAAACAATAGCTACTTTTTGGTTTTCCAAGATGGTACTGTTACTTTAGCATTGACATTGCAAATATTTGACTATGCCTGTTTCTGTGTCTGCTGCGTCATCAATTCAACTCATAAATTTAAAGTAAAACTAATATTAAATATTATTTAAATATATTAAATTTTATCCATGAAAGCTCACATTACAATACATACCATTCTTTAAGATGCATTGTGGTATTTATTTATTTACTTATTTACTTCTGTTTTGACTGATATTATATTAAATATATTTTCTTTCCACAATACTGTACAGTAAAAGGTATTTTAAAAGCCTGATTTACATTTTCAACTGCAGAACAGGAAACATAAAACAATAGATAATAATTGTATTTAGAGCTACTGCTACACTGCCATGGAACAACTGGCTCAAGAGTGTTTTCAATAGAAATCGGTGGATATATGGTTGTAACATTCTAATTTAAAAAAAACACACACACAAACATGTAGCATAACTTCTAAAACTGAGTTGTGCAAAACATGCTTTTAAAGCTTTCTTATAGGAGCAATAGTAACGATTGGCAGTTCACTTATTTGGGAATGCTTTTACACTCGATGACTTATAAGCCAGGCGCGTTGTCAGCCCGATTAAAAACAACACCACGATTCTACAGTTCGGAAGCCTGACCTAGCATGCTGTCGTAAAGGGCGCCCTTCAATCCCTTCAGCCAGACTCTGGTTCTTGCCTTCTGCTTTCCGTGTTTGATGCTGGGGCCAGGTGAAATGTGCTAGCGATGGTGAGTAAGGAAATTGGGATGTAACAGCAGCTTTTGTACCCGAGAATAGATCACGACTTTGGCTTTACGGGATCAATTTTTAGGCTAAGGCTGGGTCCTATACGTCTATGCTTCGGGGAGGGCTCTTCCAAGGATTTGAGCCACCGCAAGTTAAAGAGAACCTCCATGTCCAGAAATAATGTATCTGAATACCACCTGGTGGAGGAGCCGCAATGCTAGGCTCGATTTACAGGAAGGTCAATCTGCCTACAGAGAAGTCATTGCCCTTAGAGAAGCCAGAGCCCAAGGTGCGTGCAAAATATACTACGACTCTAGCTCCGTATGCGCGGTGTGTGACGGCAATAGCTACCGCGTAACATGTGTCACCGCCTTCACAGCGCATTACCTTCTCGGAGTCCCCTTTTTCGCTCGCCATGATCACGCCAGTTCAAGATCCCTGCTTTCCTCCCCCCCCCTTTGCGCACACTTCTACCAGAGAGCCGGAAGCGTCAGCTGCGCAGAGAGACCTCAAGCCAGAGGCTGCCGCTCTACCCATTTCCCTCTCCCGTTCGCTTTTGTTTTAACGTGGTTCCTCCTTCATCTCTATGGTGCGCGGAGAAGGAACGGACGCCATTTTAGGTCTGGAGAGGAGATTTCGAGCAAGAATCCTTTGTTCAGTGAGATGGGTCACAGAGCAGCATGGGCGCGCGCATACGCCCGCCCGGGGGCTGTGCACGTACAGGCGTGGGCGCGCGCGCGCGCTGCTTACTTCAGCTTAGGCTTTTCGCGCGCTCTCGCGTCCGGTCCCTGGAGCGCGCGGAAACCTACGCCGAGGCAAGCGGCGCGTACAGTCACGTACTCTCGTCTGTAGGGTGTTGGTGCGCCAGTTGGGGTTGGGGCACTATTTTTTCTTTTTTTGTGGGAGCATATAGAGTGCAGGAGGGACGGTGGCAGGAAGGATGCCATCATTTAGTCAAATAAAAACTGAATGGGTGAGGTAAATAAGTTATGTGTGTTTTAGCAAGGCTTTCTCGCGGGCAGGCGGGGTTTTTTTTAATGAACAAGTTTCCCTATTACAAGAAAAATTGGGTTGGAGGTTTCAACTGTGCAATAGTAAGCCTGTGCATTTTTTTAAAAAAGCACAAGAGAGTCGCTTTTTTCGCGTGTTTCACGGAAAGCAAATGTCCTGTGGCATGTTAATTAAAATATTTTTACCCTGCATGTCTCCTTAAAAAGAACCCAATGGTGCTTACATCATTGAAATACACTATTTAAAGCTAAAACTTAATAATTTTTAATTTGGCATAAACTTTAGTGATCTGGAGCCTGCTTTTTCACACTTTTCCCCCCCTGAGCTGTAAGGACACCGTAAAAAACCCCATATATGTGGGGAACTGTTGTGTTCAAATTGTGCATCTTGATATGGGCTGCAGTCTGAAAGTAAATGCCATGTAAAACAGGTCAGGGACTACAAGGCACTGTTAGTGAAATCCAGTGGAAATGCAACGTGTTGCAGAAAGAGGCAAAAACATCTGTTTAGCACATATTGTACTGGTAGGTAGCAACTGAGTTGGCAGCAACTGATAAAGTAAGGGATCTTGAGGTTCTTGTGGACAGCATAATGAAAATGTCAGTCTACTCAGTGTATGGCTACTATAAAAATTCAAATGATATGTTTGGCATAATTAGAAAATAAATACAAAAATAAAACTGCCAGTATATAAATTTTGACCTATCAATCCATAGGGCAAATCTACATCACAGATTATGTTCACCACCACAAAATGAAGTATTGTAGGACTGTGAAAGACGTAGAACATGACAACCAAGCTGATAGAGCAACTGCCCTGTGATGAAAAGTTACAGTGTTTGGTTATTTTAATTCAGAGAAAGGATGACGAAGGAAAAACATGGTGGTGTATAAATAATGCACAGTGTGCATAAAGTAAATGACGAGAGTTTTTCCCCACTTTCATACAAGAGTCCTGGGTCATCCCATGAAGCTGAGTGGGAAGATTTAAAGGACATAAGCAGTTGTAGTTCTTCACACATCATAGTTGAGTTTAGTGGCACAAGATGTAGTTCTAGCTACCAACTTGAATAGGTTTGGAAGGGAATTAGATCCATGGAAGTCAAAGTCATCAGTGGTTATAGCCAGAATACTGTAGCTACATATCACCTCAGGTATTAGAGGTACCTGTGTTTCTCTGTATCAGCTGCTGAGACGTGAAATGCAGACATTGCTGATGCAGCTGGCTAGCAATGGTTGGGAGAGAATGTTGGACTAAGTGGACCTCTGACTTGTTCAAACATGGATGCTCTTTTAGTATGTCAACCCAAAGGTTGCAGAATTTAAAAAATGCCTCCATATTTCTAAATGATCTTTAAAAGCATAATATAAACAAACAAACCATATATGATATAGCCAAATGAATGCAAAGGTGAATTGCCAGAATTTTTTTATTTTATTTTTATGCTTTCTCCCAGTTATGGGACCCAAGGCAGGTCACATTTTTTAAAAAAATAAATCATTTAAAAGAACAATAAAATACTACATTAAAAACAAATGTATATATTTTAAAAATCTGGTAAAACTTAAAAACACCTTAAAAGGAAACCAAAACATACACAAACTAATATACAGCATCCAAAATTAAAACTCATCCCTACCCTGTTAGCTGCTTAAGAGCTGCCTAAAAGTATGGTCTTTGTCACCAGAAAGATAAGATGGATAAACCTGTCCTCCCAGAGTCCACGGATGGCTTTTTCAGAAGGGCTTTTGCAATTGCCTCTTTTAAACATGCCAGTAGCCTGTCTTGTTGCAAGGAGGCATTTAGCACCTAGCCAGTTCAGCTCTGGCAGCTTTTATAAGCCAGGAAAGCAAGGGATGCAGCATACACGTGGTAGTTTTCACCTTTGCAAGGTTCCTTGTCTGTATCCTCAGGCTGCACAGATTGAAACATATCCATTATAACAGGACAAGCGGGAGCTAGAGTTACATTGACAGGAACTGTTTCAACCATAATTACCCAAGTCAGAGTGAGTCTAAACAACTTTATCTGTAAAATGCCATGCAGATTCTTCATGGGCTGTAGAGTAGTCAGCATCTTGTTCTTGTGGGTGTACGTGTAATTTCCCCCTAACACCTGAAATAGCTGTGCTGAGTAACCATGTGCAGACACAATGGCAGCAGAAAAGAAACATTTCTTCACTGTGACCACTGCCACAGAGTAGGCCTTTAAACTACCCCTAGCCTGTGTTTGGTCAGATTCAATTGGAGTTTTTTGCCAACAGCACTCCAGTTTGTAAATGTAAGGAGGGGTCTAATGATAATTTGAAAGACTGTAGAATAAATCAATTTCCCTGTCTTTTCTCCCAAACACGTACAGTTATATTACCATTAGGACAGAACGTATCATAAGGAAAGCTGGACTGGATTCAGATGGAGGAGTGAAAATTTGTGGAAGAAACATCAATAATTTAAGATAGGCAAATGACACCATCTTATTGGCAGAAAGCAGCAATGACTTGAAATGACTTTTAGAAAAAGTGAAAGAAAGTGCCAAAACAGTTGAACATTCTGAAGACAAAAACATGACTACAGAAGAAGTACAGTGGTGCCTTGACTTACGAATTTAATTGGTTCCAGAACTTCAGTTGTAACTTGAAATGGTCGTACGTCAAAGCACATTTCCCATAGGAATGCATTGAAATGCAATTAATCCATTCCGACCGAAGGAAAAAACACACCAAAAAACACAAAAAAACCACCGGAAACACGATTAATCCATTCCAGTCGAAGGGAGAAAAAAAGAAACGAAAAGAAAACCATGCAAGGCCCTTCAGAAATGCAAAAAAAGCAAAGCAGAAAGCAAACAAACTATGCAAGACCCTTCAGAAATGCAAAAAAACCAAAGCAAAAAGCAAACAAACCCCGCAAGACCATCAAAAAACAAGCAAACCCTACATGACCCATCACAGCACAGAAACGTAATCTCACCACCCAGCCCAAAACCACGCTGCAAAACCCACCCAGAACAGTTTTTAAAAAGTAGAAATCAGCACCTTACCTTAACCAGGCAGTCCAAAGCCTACTCCAATCGCGCTCACTCTAACTGTTTGGGCAAAAGAGCTACAGGCTCACTCTAACTGTTTGGGCAAAAGAGCTGCAGGAGCCTCTTCGCCTACCAACAGTTAGCACTTTGAATTCCCTGCCTTTTTTCCCTACCTTTTTTTTGGTTGTAACTCAAAGCTCCAGCTGCAGGTCGAAGCAAAATTTTGCAGCCTGAGCTGGTCGTAAGTTGAAATGCTCATATGTCGGAACATTCATAAGTTGAGGCACCACTGTACATCACTTTAGTGATAAAGAAATTGAAATTGTTAGAGATTTTGTATACTTACAGCCAACATATCAGAAGGTATGTAAGGGAAGGAAGCAATGAAGGGACTAGAAAAGCTCATCAAGTGTAAGGATGTGTCACTGGACACCAAGCCTAAAACCATCCACAAGTGTAAGGATGTGTCACTGGACACCAAGTCTAAAACCATCCACAGTACCTCTTGTATTTCCAGTCACCATGTATTGGTGTGAAAGCTGGACAGTTAAGAAAGCTGAAAGGAGAAAAAAAACCAGATTTGTTTGAAATGTGGTGCTGGAGGAAAGCTTTGCAGATACCCTGAACTACTTGAAAGGCAAACTAGTGTGGTCAAATAAAGCCTCAACTAGCTCTGGAGGCAAAAATGTTGAAACTGAGTCTGTCCTACTTTGGGCACATCATGAGAAGGCAGAATTCTCTGGAAAAGACAACAGTACTTGGGAAGGATGAAGGAATCAGAAAAAGAGGAAGACCAAATATGAGATGGACTAACTCCATAAAGGAAACCACAGACTTGAGTTTGGAAGAGTTGAGCAGGGCAGTTGAGATGATTTTTTGGAGATTGCTTATTCATAAGTCATAACTTTTTTGCTTTACTCAATATTGGATAATAAGCTTGTTGGGTGATAATTTGACGGTTGGGAGGGATCATCTTTTTTATGAATGGGTATAAGTATGGATGATAACCAGGAGTTTGGAAAACAGCCAGAGTGATTTATCAGGGTAAAAAGAGTAGCTAAGGGCTCTGCCCACCAGTGAGGGTTTATGGTCAAGATCTCATTAAAAATGAGATCGGGGCCAGGAGCTTTGCCTGGTTTAAGTGAGATAATTAGTTTGAGGATCTCTTCAGGGGTGACTGGGGACCACTCAGGAAGGTCTTGTGAAATGTTTACTGAAGAAGAACATGAGGACATGATGGAGAAAATTTTAGTAAAATAATCAATCCAAGTAACAGAGGAAATACAATTGGATGGTTTAAAAGCTGGAGAGTTAGCGCGAGACACCACAGACCAAAAAGCCTTTTGCTCGTGTGATAGAATTTCATTTTATCACATGTCCACCAAAGGTGATAGTAAGTTCCAGTTTTTTTCTGAAATATCCAACATTTACTTGATCAATTAGGAACCATTTTAGCTAG